TAATAACTAACACATGGCCGGTTAATTTGACCAGATTAGTTCCCTAATCCACATATTTATTTAATCTAAAAAGATTAAATAAATTAACAAAAAAGATTATGAAATTCAATTGCCACCGCCCGCACCCTTTCAGTTGACTTTTATTATTCTTTTTTTCATTTTTTAATAATTTATTTATTTATTTATTTGTTTTGCAAATAATGTTACGCGTCTATATTTTCTTTAAAAAATTAAGGCCCAATCATCTAACAACTATATGATATATATTATTCTATATTATATTTTTTAATCATTTTAATTTTAAGGGACATTTACATGCTTGCCATAAAGTTTATTATATAATTATTTTAATTTTTTAAAATAAAAAAATATTTTTTTTTAATTGACAGCTAAAATGTCATGTATTTAAAAATTGAAGTTTGACTGTTAGATATGTAAATACATAAGAATTGAGTGGTATGTATGTAAATTTTCCTATGTTATATTTAACTTTGTCAACCTGGGAATTGTGTGCAAGGTATGTAAATTTCCTAAAATGTCCAATTTACATATTTTATATTAAGGTTCATGCTTCATATAGGTCATCAGCAAATTTACATAATCTGGCACAGGACTCAGGATATGACACTAAATTATAAGATATTTTTTTAGCAAAAAATACTAAAATTCAAATTAAAAATCATGCACGCTCTAATTTCAGTAAACTTACAGTCAAGCTCATCGGTTTTATGAGACAAACTCTTTGGCATCAAAATTGATCTAATACAAGACGAATCAAGCCCGTAATATATCGTTAAATTGCATTTAGAAGCTTTGAGTGGTTAACGAGAGGGTTAAATAAATCTCAAATGTAAGAAGCTTATAGCTAAATTGAGTGTCTCTATGAGATGAATCCAGCAAACCAGAAGATCACTCAATTTTGACATCATTAAGAAACATAAATGTTTCCAGAATGATGTTTGATCAAGGGAATCGTTTTAGGTCGTCCAATGAAGTGGTATGAATTTCTGTCTTATTTTCAGAGGTTGTCACTCTCATATTTTATAAATAGAGTCCTCTCCCTTCATGAAGGGGGGCCATGAGCTAAAACTAGAGCCGGACCAGGATAAAAAGGAGCATATTTTCAATGTTGTTCTGGATTGAAGACCAGAGAGTCCCATTCTCCATAGTTGTGACCACCGTTGACAATCATCTACTGGCCAGTGTTGATCACCATCAACCGCACCCTGTTCGTGGCTATTTGTGGACATTGCAGAGTGACGATGTATGTTGTGGAGTACCAAAACACTATACAGTGTAACGAAGCAACATGCAAAGTAATGATGTATGTTGCGAAGTAACAAAGCACCATACAAAACAACACAACTTTCTGAATAGTACACAATGAAAAGGGATGTCAAAACAACTCATTTTTGCCAACAATTTGTATTCTGTTCGTTAGAAGCTTGTGTTAGATTCCTTCGCTAATCAAACGAATTGAAAATGAATATTTTCTTTGCGCTTAATATATAAATGAACTAAACACGAACAAAGATTCATTCGTTCTTGTTGAGCTTGTTTAGGCGCTATTGAAAAAATTAAATTAAATTATATATATATATATAATTATTTTTGAATGATTTAATTGACTACAAGACCACAAAGATTTATAATCAATTAAAATTATTAAATTTAAAAAATAGAATAAATATATTACATTATATTTAAATGATGATTTAATATAAATAATAGGATTTAAATCTCGCCCCAAATCTTAACATCCAACGACTGCGTGTTTAGGGTTGTCAAAACGGCTTTTTGTTCGCGAATAGCTCTTATTCGACTTGCTAAGCAAAAGAGTCGAACATGAATAAATTTTTTGTGTCCAAAATGTAAACGAGCTGAACACGAACAATGATATTTTTTAACGAATCAAATACGAGCTGACCTAGTTCTCACTCGTATTTGGCTCGTTTGCACACCTAGCAACGACATACCTCAAATACAATGTATTGAAGTTCCAGTGATAATTCCCAGTAGCAACCACTAATCAACGGATTGTTCTACGTAGTGACACTGTAAGGGTCTTTATAATCATTTTCCGTTTGTGGGATAATGATCTATACTTGTACTCCCAAGCTTAAAGTGCATAATTCTGACTGTGCCAGTTTCTATTATTTTTTCCCAGTTTGGGTTACCACGTATAAGTTTTTAGTGTCTCTATATGTTATGTCTACTAAATGTGTGTGTGTTGGATTTTCTTAAAAGTTAAAACGCTAAATAATCAATCTACTAACAAGACCTTTTGACATGTAAAAATACTCATAAATCCTTATCATTAAAAACATATATTTAAATTCAAAGCAGTGCATATATTAATGTAAGATGAGAAGAATGAATAAAAATTATTTTCAAGCAAAAATGGAAGAGCTTAACTTTGTAATAAATTTGCAAGAAAGCAAGGCATTATACACTTCATAAGGAGTTGGGCATGTTCTAAACTACTGCAAGTCGTAGTTACTGTTGAAATACTTTGTGAATGCTATGTCTGTCCCCGGGTGATTAATATGCATGCCTTGAATGGCTATTTCTATTGGTTTGGATTGTTGATTATGGTCTCAATTTTCTTATTTACTATGGGGGCACTTTCGTCATATCACTATTTCAATATTGTATGTTAATGCCAATACAACTTTCATTGATATTGTGATGTAGTAGCATGAATGTTTAAGGTACTGTGGTTTGAAAGAAAACTGGAAATTCACAGACATGACTTACAAGTTTTCCGACATGTAAATTTTTATTATTATAGTTTGTAATGCATTGGTGTTATGTAGTAACAACTATAGATAAGTCTTGTATAGTAATTTTTAATAAAGCATAGTTTGAGATAACATTATTAGTCACTTTAGTTGATTTACGTACACACCGCATAGTTCTTATATTTGTATATGAGGGTGTTACAGTTTTTTTCTCAGAAATAATTGAGACACATTAGATGCATAGTTGCACTATCTAGACAGACGTACAATTTTACCAACAGTATCTTCCTCACAGCCACTTCTCCTGACAGTAGCTTCACAGCTGCTTATTGAAACAATTGTTGTTACGCCAAAACAGACCCTAAGGCCGCCCTCAACCCTTATATGTGATTCTCAGCCATTTTTATTTTCTTGTATTCTTCTTTATTTTGGTGAAGTTTTATGTCATTTTTCCCTTTTCTTTTTTTCATTAATGAAAGTGAGCTACGAAGCACATAATAATCTTAACGAGAATGATAAAATTCATCAACTATGCGGATCTCATGTCACCGAAAAAATCTAATCGAAGTTATATCTGAATTCATTGAACTGCAAATGCGAGGTCATTAATCTGCACGAATAAAACAGTGTTATCAAGAAATAGAGAGCCTTCTTTTTACTTAAGATGAGGTATATATGAGCAAAAATTAGAACCAACATCTTATATTTTATACTAAGGATCATGATCTAATTATACTTTGTGTATACATATTCTTTTAAGCCCATCATTAAAAATAAAATAAATATCTGACCTCTATACATAGACATACCACTTACTATTATGGTATTCAACTATTGAACACCTACGCTTATCTATTAATATAAATTATTACTCTGCTAACACTATTCTCACATTTCCAAAATTCCAAAACCCTGCTTGTTCTTGGCCTCCTGAAACAGCAAAACCAAAGGCGACGCCATGTAAGTCTGATTCAAAAAGATAATCAGAACGTGGAGAAGGAAGAAGAAGAAAGCTAATTAGAAGGCAAGGCTTCAAAAAAGGAGCATTACCAAACCTTTTTGCTCTAATTCCGGCCTACCTACTTAGCTAACCTGATAGAGGGTGCAGAATTCTTTCCCCTCATCCTCATTAGCCAAATAAATAAAACTAAAAAATCCTATAGCCATCAACAGGGACAATAAAGGATTCATTGAACTAACAAGTATTAAGTCAAAATCTTTAAATAAAGACAATCATGAGTACATGAATGCAGAGAAAGTTTCAAGTGGTAGTGGGAATAAGATTCATGTTCCAGAGAAAAACAATAGAAAGTAGAACCAAAGTTCTCATTTAACTCTATGAGAATTTCTAGAAGGTTGGGGAGTATAGAGATTTTTCAATGTAGAGTGTGGCTTATTGTCTCATCTAGAGTGTAGGGGACACAAAATCTCACAATTTAATTATGAGCCTAGCTACAAGCCTACTCAAGCTTCAAAATCTTTATTTGAAAGGAAGAAAATGCACCTCCTACTGCCTAGATTGTGAGATTATCTTGACCAAATTCTACCAAAAGAGACGAAAGGATAAATGGATAATGTTAAGAATTTCTTGATTGAGATTTGCTTTCGTTTATTCATGAGATTGACATAATTTAAGAAACAAGTGCAAAATTATAGTAAACCCATTTTATTAAATAATAAAAGCTTTGAAATGAGAGAGAAGAGGATTTATGTTAGGAGCAGGGGCCTCTCTCTCACTTTCTTCTCCCTGCTTTAATCTCTCGCTACAAGTTAAGAATTAAGATTTAGGGGTCAAAGGCTCTTCCATCTCATTCTTTATGACTTCAGTGTAAGATTTCTCCCGGATTATACGAACCCACAAACAATACGGGACCCTACGTCCTTACAAAATTCAATAAGAAGAATATGTAAAGTGCTTTTAAAAAAAAATTGTAATAAGTACAATAACTTCTAAAACTTTTATTTTTTGTTAATAATAATTTTCTAGTTATGTTTACCAACAACTACTCCCAGCAAGTCCTAAGATTTGAACTGAATCTTGCCGCATTCATCTCAACTACCAACTAGAATTTGATGGAATTCTTTGCCCAATATTTAATCAACAACTTTCAAAAAGAAAAAAAAAAGATAAAAATCCTTGTTTTTTTAGCTGGATAGAAATGAGTGTTCCGACAGTACTGTTAGACTGCGACAGTTTTTAAATGAAATCGGTAAGCATTTATAACCTTCCACATCATAGTCAAAATCTATCCGTTAACTGCATCATCATCATATCATCATCTTCAGGTTTATCAAGACCTCGTCGCCGCCCCCTCACCCCACAAAACTCCCCAGTCCAAAGCTTCCATTACCGCCATTTGTCTCCCTCTCACTCCCCGCCAAAACAAATCCTTCCTCTGTCACTCTCCCTCATCTTCCACCCACGCATGCATCTCTCCACACCATAAATGTCTTCCCCACCCACATCTTCAGCCATGGCAGCCTTCCCAGCTCCTTATGACCCTCCTTTCCTCCAACATTACAGCTCCCTGTTCCCTGCTGCAGCTGAAACAGAACGCCATGAAGCCGGAGGAGTCATAGAGGAATGCGAGCTTCCCGTTATAGATTTGAAAGATTTGCAGCTAGGAGGTGAGGAGGAGAGGATGGGCTGTGTTGCAGAGATAGCTGCTGCTTCGTCGGTGTGGGGATTCTTTCAGGTGGTGAATCATGGAATCAGTAAGGAGCTGCTGAAGGAGGCGAGGAGGGAGCAGAGGAGGTTGTTTCATATGTCCTTTGAGAAGAAGAATGGATCCAAGGATTTGAATGAGTCTTACAGGTGGGGGAATCCCACTGCGACTTCATTGGATCAGTTCTCATGGTCTGAAGCCTTTCATTTTCCTCTTTCTAAGCTTTCAGAGGGTGGTGGTTGTGATGAAGACGAGTTCAGATCTTTGAGGTAGTTTCTGTTTCTTTGTTTAATTTTCAGTTTTTTAAATAGTAAGTTTATGCATTATCATAAACCAGAGATGATTTTAATAACTTTTGAATTTGATTATATTAAGTAAATAATAAAGGAAAAAGATGATTTTGAGAGGAATCATACATGGAATTTCATTGGAGTATATTGACTTGAAACTTTTTTTTTGACTAAATAGAGAGCAAATCTTTGACAAATTTGAAGTTGCCTCTTTTGTGGTCTTAAACGCGGATTGGAGCATGAAAGTAAATGTTTTTAGACTAATTTGGTGTTTTTAGACTCCTCAGAAGACTTCAATGACGAGACTTTTAAGCTACTTTAAATTTTTTTTTTTTCTTGGGAAATTTACATCTTTAACACCTAAAGTTTGGTATTTATATTTACAACATCTTGGTATTGAAAACCAATGCATGAAAAGGTGTATTTCACTGTATAAAGTTAGGGATAGTGGTATTTTATATATATATATATATATATAATAGTTCGGGTGTTACATATGTAAATATATTAGAATTGCGTGGTACTTATTAAAAGCCCCTATTTTCTTTTTTTTCTTTTTTTTTTGGTGTGGGCTTTTGCTTGATCAAACAAAGCTAAACAAATATATTTTTCTAAAGAAAAATTGTTGGGATATAAATTTTCTTCTTAATTCAACCTCTTTTATTATGATTAAATTCAAAATTTGCTAAAGATCTAAGAAATTGCATCTCATACAGATCTTGATTCCTAAATATATACTCATCACATTGTCATGCCAAACAATTTTCAGATTTTATTTCTCTGAAAATTTAATAAATTAGACATAAAAATTTTCTTATTCAAATTATCATGATTAAACCTTTTTGAAAGTAAAACAAAAACAAAATCAATAAGATAAAATTTAATTTTTTCCATTTTTCTATTGAACGGCTCCTACTTCTCCTCCCATAGATTGTGTTTGGTAGGATTTATCAAATTCAGTAAATCCAATAAATTTGGATTCTATCAAATCTAGTGTGCCACGGAGAAGAAACTCGCTAGCAACTGACATGATAAATCTATCTCACACGATCGGGTTTAGTTAATCCAGATTTATATCATAAAAGAGACGAAACACGAGAATAAAAAAGAAAGACGAACATAAGAAATTATTGTTTGATTGAATGTAAGTTAAATTTACCAAGTGATTCAAACTAGTCCACTGTTCTATTTCTAGGGAGTCGATGCAGAAGGTTGCTGATTCTATGTCACAATTGGCAAGGATACTCGCCGGCGTGCTTGCCTACAACCTCGGATGCTCAGACGACTTTTTCACCGAAAATTGCAGGGAGAACACATGTTTTCTCCGCCTGAATCGATATCCATCGTGCCCATTTTCACCCGAAACTTTTGGTCTAATGCCTCACACAGATAGTGATTTCCTAACAATTCTCCACCAGGATCATGTCGGCGGTCTCCAATTGATGAAGGATTCTAAATGGGTCTCCATCAAACCAAACCCAGAAGCTCTCATAGTCAACATTGGGGATCTCTTTCAGGCATTTCTTTCTCCCAATTCTCATCTATTTATATATATATCTAACACCTAAATTCTACCTTTTTATATTTATACCACCCAAATCTTTCATTTCACCTAAAAAAGATAAAATAAACCTTTTTTTTTATGCAGAGCCGTGTAAAAATTGAAGTTTGGGTGTTAGAAATATAAATACAAAAGAATTGAGTGGGTATGTATGTAAATCTCTCGTTTTTATTAAGTTAGTCTGATGTTGTGATATTCAATGACAGGAGAGGGGCGTGGGATAAGTATAATAAGCTTTAAGTACATAGGATAAAGACCATGTTGCTGCCTTCTCCTTTAAGCAACACTAACTTTCCTTAGTGAAAGGGATGGTGGACCTGAATCCTTCTTATCTAAAACAAAGTGTCCCAATCTCATCAATCACTTAATTACTCCTCCCTTCTGTTTTGATCCCCATTCATCATTTTTGTTAGCAGTCTTAGTTTATATGAATGATTTGGGTTTTAATACATGATTTAAACATAATTAGACTTAATCAGCATGAAAGTGACCCAAAATACCTGAATCCACTATATAATTTGGTCTGGTTTTACCCAGATCCTGCCATCAAGGAAGATAATTGAGTTATTTTTTTAAGGACTTGGTGTGTTGGAAAATATTGGCAAGTTGATTAAGCTTAAATTTACTTGGAATGACAGGCATGGAGCAATGATGTGTACAAGAGTGTCGAGCACAAGGTGATGACTAATAGTACAGTGGAGAGATACTCCATAGCTTACTTTCTTTGCCCTTCCTATGACTCCATCGTAAGTAGCTGCAAGGAGCCTTCTCGCTACAGGAAGTTTACCTTCAAGGAGTTCAGGAGACAGGTTCAAGAAGATGTCAAGACAACTGGGTATAAAGTGGGGCTCTCAAGATTTCTATTATAGAAAATTCTAAGTTGGGGCGCGGCGCATGATTTTTTTATGTATTTACATACCTAACATCTGAACTTCAACTATTTACATTTATAACACCCAGACCATTAATATCACTGTTACTAATTTTTAGAAAACAAAACATATTTTCATGCATAGCTAAATTGCTACAAATTTAAAAATCAAAGTTTAGATGTTGATAATGTAAGTACATAGAAATTGTGTGATATGTATGTTAAATTTTTCTTCTGAAGTGTGAGTTTTGTTGGCTTACAAATAGATAAATCTGCAGTTAGAAATCAGTGAGCTTAAGTACTACTGAGTTCTTGGACTAACAAAAGAAAATTAATTCACCTAACCCCCTTTACATGTTGGAAAGGAGCCATTCAGGTTTTTGTAAGCTTTTGTTTTGGAAATAAGTGATTGGGGAACTTTTTTACACCTACTTCAATTGTTTTTTTCAGGATTTTCTTCTTCTTTGTGATAGTGGAGATGAAAAGTTGTGTGATTAAGCTTTCATTTTGTCATGGTTTTACCTATATATTATAAATTTACTGTCTTAAAAATTTCTGCAACAGGAAAAACTCTATATTAAACAGGCTTTATGGAGTCTAGTTTGTGCTCTATGAAGAAATATGTTTTCTAAACTTGTTCACCGTCGACCTTCACATGAGTGTTAGGAAGGTTGGTGTGGGAAATCAAAGAAATAATTTGTATTTCACCCTATTCTTTGAATTGATCATACAAGGTATTATATAGGAGATTAAAAGGAGAAAAACTAGGAAAGTATTTAACTAATTCCCTTGATTTAAAGGATTACAAATTTATTCTAATTTCCTTAATTTAAGGGATTTACCAATTAATTCTAATTTCCTTAATTAAGGAAATTAGAATTAATTCTCACAACTTTATTTTTATCTCAGTCACTATCTCAGTCACCGTCTCGACAGTAGGGGTTGTATTTTTTACACAAACATTATAGTGAAATCTGCAACATGACTAAGTTGTCAATTAAGCGAAATATTTTTGTGATTTTATGTTTTTTTCCCCCTATTTGTATTGGAATAGATTTTACCTATCATCCTGCATAATACAACTACAAAGCAATTCTCTATGCATGAAGAATTGTTTTATTTCATGTAATAATAGAACATCTAACTAGCACATCTAAACCAATACCAAGAGAAACCTAAGCAATTTTAGTTGTACAAGTTATGCTAAAGATTCTCACAAACTTACCCTGGGCGTCTTATTTTAGGGTTTAAGGTATTGGCAAAATTAGTAGTCTCTTCAGTTTTATTAGAAGAAAATATGTAATAGAAGACTCAAAAAAATGCTAGATTTCTTAATGATTTTATGATCGTGAATAACACAGTTAAAAGAACCGCTCATCGATCTTTCTGATTAACAATTCAATTAGAGAAGATAATTAGAATGGTTTATGGCATTCAAATACTTCGGGCGTGTTTAAAGATAGCTCCACCTGCAATACTACAGAACAATTAGTTTCATCGCATCCATGCAATTTACTTTTAGACGTTTATTTTTTTTTTAACGTCAAGTATTCTCCAGATAAAAAACATACCTTCAAAACTATATTTAAATGGGTAATAATGAAATATAGAAAGCATGGCCTTGAGAAAAAAATCAGTTTATTAAAAAAAAATTAGCAAATGATGGGACTTTCCCACTTTAAATGGCATGGAAGCCCCCAACTATCAAAACAAATATAAAGACTAAAATTATCCATCACTAGAATATAAAAGCTGCTGAAAGAATTAGAGATCCACAAAAATCTCAGTGAAGTTAACACCATTCTAAAGCTCGTAGGTGTGAAAGAGCGAAAACAAGTGGAAGGTAAATTGTATGATGGGTAAGGAAATGGAAGGAAGAATGTTGGCTGAAATCTGACATATATGACTGCAGGACAGTGGAAAATAGCAGATTTCCTGGTGTAAACAACAGATAACAATGAGCCTGATGGCTGCCATGTTGAAAACAGCGCGCAGGGCAAGATACCAATACACCATTTAAGAAAAAAAAAAACAGCATTCAGAAAAAATAAAACACAGAATAAAATCTCCCAACACAATAACAATTATCAAATGTCTCCTCAAAACAGAAAAACAAACATATAAATAATCTCATAATAGAAAATAACCTATTTAAAAATAAAAGAATTGGAAAAAAATCCAAAAAGAAAAAATATCCGGCAGCATTGCAAAAGGGAGGCATCCTAAGCCAAAATCCATTCATATGATCACGGGAATTTGCAATTCCAGTTTAGGAACTTCGGCCAGAATCACAGGATCCTGGCTGTTCCACGAAATTACGAAAGTGGGAGCTCCCATGTCATTCTCTCTGGGTCGAAGGAGTTTCATCTTCTTCTAGGAAGCTTTCGGAATCGGTCTACCACCACCATGACAAATACATCGACTTGTTGTGTCTTGGGCAGTCCCACTGCAAAATCTATACTCGCATTCATTTCATGCAACTCTAAAAAGCATACGTTCTACCGAAGTCTATCAAGATATAATAAATAAGCATCCTTATTTGACACAATCAAAGTTGAAATCGCATCTAGGAAAGCCTCTAACCATCTAGTGTTGTAACGGATGGTTGCATCCAATAGGAAAGTTGGTTCAACAACATAAAAAAATTGGAATGGGATTTATGACATGTTGAATCTCTCTCCGTGATAATCCCCCCTAAGCTAAATTGTTAGTCAGGACATTTGTATCGACTCCTTGGACTTAATAGCTTTTATAGGATAAATTATTTTAAATCCTATTAAAACCTTTCTTATGAGCTCAACTTGAATCATTAGTATCTTTCCCTCGTCAGCTGCAAATTAATACTCCTTTTTGACATTTACATTGCATTCTCTTCATCTCAGTAAAAGATATCATTCTCCTGTTTGAGCAATATAATATAATGTGCTCAAAATTATGGCAGCACTTCTTCATTGGGATAGATCTACAAGTGTTGGCAGACTCCAGCTTTTCTCCACCCTAGATTGGTTTCTCCTCAAACAGGATTAGCTTGAATGCTCTACTAAACATACTCTTGCTCCCCAATCCTAGGATTGAACTCTGCCTATAAGATATGGCGATTACCTGATGACGTTCAAAGCTATGGTCTATAAATTGATTAAGAACCAAAACAGTTGTAGCAATATCACATTATTAACAGACGGCCCTAGTACTACAAGATATCTAGTTATTATATGTGTGGAATCTACATTTCAGCATGAGTTGATCAAATTTAGCTGTGTGTATAGAAAATTCTCTTTGACACCGGTGAAGTTTTATGAACAAATAATATCGGTAATATGGGGAAGGTATTTACAATGCACCTACCTTTTCATCTTAAACTAGGCTTTGATCTTATTCTTCCTTTCCCACTGTCGAATAAATTTCAAATTCTCCCACAAGAAAATGTTCTTTTTAAGCTTGATGACTGCCAGTTTAACTCTCCTGTCGTAGGGAAAATCTTTGTAGTAAAAAATTTATTCCACTACTTAGAGTCACTCGACAAACTTGTCTGGATCCATGTGATCGTCAACATCCGATAAATCCACCCTTCAAAATATTTGTTTCTCTTCTGATATTTCATGCCAAATCGTCAAGGTATTGATTCTTCGTCAATGGTTACTTTTCAATGGAGAAGATTCACTTCGCCCTCGTGATATGGAGAATCACTATTGTGAATATGGGTGGTCTCACAGAATTTTCCTCTCAAAGGCGACAAACCTCTATAACAATTGGGAGATTTCTCTTTACATGTCTTCCATAGTAATCTCATGAACACCCTGTTGCAGGTTTCTCACTGGCAGCATAACATCTTTTCTTCCTATAAAAGTTTTTACAGAAAGAAAATTGTGCTTTAAGGTTTAAGATTAGGGCCAAGTCTAAGTGGATAATGTGAGGAAAAAAATTTTTGGTGGGGGTGTTAAGTTAGGTTGTATGAATTCTTTGTTTAAGTGTAGGAAAAACAAATAGTTAAAAAATTGGAGTTTGTCTAGGCATGATACCAAATAACACGGTTCTAGGGCAACTAGATGGTGTGAAAAAATAAAAAAATGTAGGTAAGTTGTAGAATGGGTAAAGAAGGCGGGAGGAAGGATGTTGGCTAAAATCAGACATGGTGGCAAGACAATGGAAACAACAGGTTTCTACTATAAGCAGCAGATAATACTAAGTCTGACGGCTGGCTTGCTGAGAACAGTGGGTAGATGGTAAAATGGCGGGTGTGGATGGTGGGGGGTCCTGAGCAAGATACAAATGTACCACCTGCAAGAGGATGAGAATGCAACACTCCAGAGAACAAAAAACAAGGAATAAAATATCCCAACACAAATAAAAATAATCAAAAGTTTCCTAAAAATAGAAAAACAAACTTATAAATAGTCTCATAATAGAATAAAACCTATTAAAAAAATGAGAAATAGGAAAAAAAACAAAAAAAGAAAAAGTTTGATTGAAGTGAGAACGGAGGCCGTCCTAAGCCGAAATCAATTCCAGCGATCACGAAAATTCGTAGTTCCTGTTCGAGAACTCCAACGGGGAACGCGGGATCCTGGCTGGTTCACTAGTTCCACAGAATTACAAAAGAGGGAGCTCCCATGTAAAGTTTTACAAGATTTGGTCATATTCTTCGACGTTAAAGACAACAACTAGTAATGAGTGACTTGCCCATTAACATGATGACTAGAATGGCTAACAAATCCACGTTACAAATATATTACTTGAACCCTCTTTTTTCTAAACTAAAAAAAAAACAACCGAATAAAACCAAGGGATTTTTTACAATTTACCACACAAAAGTGAGTCGTCTCAATAATTTGAACATCACTCAAATTGTGTTATAAATAGGACGACCGGTGCAAACTGACATAAGACTTTGAACCTTACATTGATACTATACAAAGACTAACAAAAAAAATAAAAATAAAGATAAAAAATAAAAATATATATAAAAAACCGAAATATTCAAATTTCAGATATTAGGGATCAGATGTGTGAATGTCTACTTATGAGAATTTTAAATTACCTTAATGTTCAACAAGGTTACATGGGCCTTCACTCGGTAGGGAACCAATCATTTTGTCCATAATAACATATATATATGCAGCCGCAAGGGGCATTTAAAATTTTATTGATCTGATAGTGCAGCGATGAATCTTTGGATTCTCCCCTGTGCACGTTCCTTATTTTCAGGCCCATCCATATCACCAATGTTTTCATGATACTCCTGCAACATAAATGGTTGATGATGAGACCCAAAACTTTGCATTATGAAGTTCATGGTGGAATCCATTTTCAACACGCAAAATGAGTCACAGCATTAGTTTTGATGAATAGAATTGGGGAATTTCCAAATATACCATCCAATTCCTATTTATTTACATATATAACATCTAAAATTTACTTTCTACATTTATACCACTTAAATAATTCATATCACATCAAAAATATCATCATTTTAACTTTTAAAGAATGAAATGCATGTAAAGGTAAGACAGCATGCACGTAAAAAATAAAGTTTACATGTTAGATATGTAAATACATAGGAATTAAGTGGTATGTATGTACCATGTAAATCTTCCATAGAATTAATTAAGAAAAAAACGATAAAACAAAAAAAAATAGCATATTTGCTGAAGTACATCGTACTCATAAAACAGGTTCTAAATGAATGGGATTAAGCTAATGACAGATGATGATAAATTGTTCAAATGCTGCTTGGATTGGTAAAGAGCACAGCATCATTTTCCAACAAACAAAAAATAATCAGTATAAGGAATATCTACAAAAAGCTGTAGGGAACTCTTTGGCGCGCTATGTCTTGGAACGCACAGTAGATAGAATAAAAAAAGCAGCAATTTTAATCAGCAATGGCTGTTCTGTTAGCTAGATTGTCACAATTAAAACAATCAATGAGCATTTGATTGGTTATAGTGTGCCCATCTAACAAAATAGATGGAGATGGATTCAACTCTCACCCATACGCACTATCTTCCCAAACAAAAAAAAAAACACCACCATCAAACCACCACTAGATTTTGTCTTAATACCATTCATGAATTCAGATTTTATTTTCAAAGATCTAAAACAAACATTGCAGCATCATTTTCCAACAAACAAAAAATAATCAGTATAAGGAATATCTACAAAAAGCTGTAGGGAACTCTTTGGCGCGCTATGTCTTGGAACGCACAGTAGATAGAATAAAAAAAGCAGCAATTTTAATCAGCAATGGCTGTTCTGTTAGCTAGATTGTCACAATTAAAACAATCAATGAGCATTTGATTGGTTATAGTGTGCCCATCTAACAAAATAGATGGAGATGGATTCAACTCCCACCCATACGCACTATCTTCCCAAACAAAAAAACACCAGCATCAAACCACCACTAGATTTTGTCTTAATACCATTCATGAATTCAGATTTTATTTTCAAAGATCTAAAACAAACATTGCTGAATATAATAAGTAAAAAAATTAAGCAAAATCTACTGATAGATGTTGACCTCAATTTTCGTGAGGTCTAGTATTCCAAGCAGGAGTTAGGATCTAGCCTTAGGGGTCTTCCTGCGACTATCTTAGAGCCTTAGAAGTGGTGCCCGCCTCGTTTTAGTTCGACCTATTTTCGTCCTCTTTTGGAGGTTTCGCGTGTGCGGTATCGACTTCTAACACTTAGAAGGATGAAACCGACATGAGGAAACCCAAAATGGATTCCTATAGGACCTTTCCGAGCTTTAGGTTGACCTTCTGCACAATTCGCACTCCTGCGCGCACC